TCTTATAAAGCAACAAACTATTTCTCCAGGCTAAATGATGATCCTCTAAATTTGTGACACGCCATTTCCTCTCCAGATTACGAGTCATCTGCTTCTTATTGCATTGCTAGCAATTGTTTTATATTATATCATACAATGTAAAGCTGGCATTGACAGCGTTTGCTTATAAACACAACTGAAACACACACATTTTCAGTCCCAAATAGATGTCAGACTTACGTAAAACATTTCAGCACCAGTTTTCCAGTAGATTTTGTTGTGGGCGTTAACATAATAGATAATCCTGAAGGCTTCACACAGATTCTGATGAGTCTACGCTTTATTCTCTGACTCACTCCTAAATCACATTTTTCACTACAATGTTGCGCTTTCAGTTTCTAACTAAACATCTTTTTATTAGTTTCACTGTTTCTATCTTTGGTCTGTAAAAGATAAATAAATAAATGGCAGCTTGACAGCTCCATGACACTCACACTGGCTTCTTATTGCCTCCCCACTCCCGCTAACCAGGACTATGGTGTTATTCTGTGAGTTTTTTGTGAATAGCAGCTAAAAGCTTTAAGTACTTTATTATACAGTCCTGTGCAATGACTTGCTTCTAATTTTTAAAGTGCTCTTGAGCAATAGTTTTCCAGGCTTTCTGAAGGTCTTTCAGAATTTTACTTTGGACACTGGCTGCTTTTTCCCTCATATTCATTCCATTACCTGCCCATTTTAAAAGGATTTTTAGGTCATGCATACGGAAGGGGACATAACTCAAGCGATGAACCAGTGTTGTGTCTCACATCAGACAAGCTGTCAAAGAGCCCATTTTAAATTGGCACTTTAGGCACTTTATTCTGAGCAGCCTGTCACAAAAACACATCATTTCTTCCCATTTCTTGAGTTGGATCGACAATAAATGCCAGTGATAAAACAATTTGACAGGCATAAAATAGTATTATACCAAAGAGCTTATAGCCAGAAATCTTGGCATATATCAGTATGGTGTACAGTGTGTCCTTAAAAAAATTAGGAAACCAAACAAGTGGGGGATGAAAGAAAAAATGGGAGGCATAAAATAAAATAATAATAACATAAAAAAAACAATTTGCAACAAAACAGCATCTGAAAGTCATGTCCCTAAGAAAACAGGAAAAAAACCAACAAGACCTGAGAGACCTGAGAGATGGAGCTCACCCTTCAGCTGAACTATAAATGATCACATTGAAATAGTGACTGTTAAGAAATCGTTGTTAAGGAAGGGAAACGGAGAGAGCAAATCAGTAGCAACAAGTCTCGTGAAGTGATAAAAATTCAAAGATTTCCTTTCATCAATATGTACCGAGGAGGTCAGGAAAGAAGTACAACAGTACAGCAATCTGTAAAACACAGGTGAGGCTCTGTCATTGTGTTAGGCTGCATTTCAGCCAGTGGTGTTGGGGATCTTGTCAAAATTTTATAAACGCAGAAAAATATGATCAAATTTTAATTCACCATGGATAAAACAATAAAAAATCATTGGTAATGGATTGGCCTCTTTAGAGTTTGAGCCTAAACATTATGGAAGCAGTGTGAGAGCATCAGCCCATTTTATGTTGTGTGCACAAAACGTGCACCTGATATGAAACAATAGCTTTACATTGTATGATATAATATAAAACAATTGCTAGCAATGCAATAAGAAGCAGTGGAAATCGATCAAAAGTAACTTTGTCAAGAAAAAACTTTGTTTTTCATTTGTTTGATTTGCATGCACGAAATATTTCCTTTACCTTAAGTAAGTAGTTTATGTCTCCTTTACCAAGCATAACGAACGCACTGATTAACCGCCCACACAAGTCATTTTTGAAACTGTCATATTCAAGGGAATGACTGAATATATCCATGTAGCAACATTTTGACACCTACTAAAATTTATATCAACTCTCTTCTCCAAAAACACACCTGCGCATATTTATAAACCAAAACATTTTGGAATTAGTAAAACATTTCACTGGGGTTATCTAGGGTGATTAATCCCCTGCCTTATTTGCAACCAGACGTGTTCTGTCTCTTCTTTTCTGTCAATTACACCTGACTTTTTTGTGGAACCCAGGTGGCACTCTGAGATAAAGCGGAGACTTGCAGTACTCTCTGAACGGAGACCCGGGGGAGTTGAGTCAAGTTGTGTGTTCTCAGGGGATAACAGTTATTTCAGCTCCTCAGAGGCATCATTAGCAGAATGTGCAAGTGCAGGACAGAGTTGGCTGAAGTCATAGGTTTATGTAGCCATGATGACAGGTGAAGAGGAATCACTGGCTAATTGTATCTCTTAGAAGAAGCTTCTCGCTCCTAATTATTCTTCTGTTATCTGGAAAAATTCTTGCAATTAATTTAGCTGTCAATCATTGGTCAAGTAAGATGGTGCAAGTGTGTGAGTCTCCAGTGTTAGAACAAAGCAAATGTAGTGTGGAGATAGATGTGGTCCGACAATCTGAATCTGTAAAAAATGTCAAAGAAATTTTTATCAGTTACTATGACTTTTAAGCTGTATATTTATCTTATTATATGCTGCCTGTAAAATTCCACAATATTCCAATATTAGATAAGCTTTCCTTCTAGCTGAGCATAATATTGAGAGTGTTGTTTTTCTTATTTCTGCTTCAATTTATATTAACCTTTGTGAAAATATTGGACCAAGTTGCATGGCAAAATCCAATGTGCCAGGAACCAGAAGTACAAAATATTTATTCTCACATCACAGCTTGAATGTGCACACAACATTAAAGACACCTGATTCGGTTCAGCTAACTCTGGATATCTCTTTTGTGATTGATGGACTGATTAAACATTCCACAACCTCAGAAATCTCAGTAACCTGCAAACTGTTTCATTCATTTCTGGGACACTTGAGGGCAAAATTGAAAATGCATGGCCCTACAAACACATGAGGATACAGCAAATGCATTACTGGATTACGTTTTGTCGAGAACATGTGCAGCTTACCCTAAGGTGTTATGAAGGACACATCCATTGTGTGCCACAGCCTTTGGAGATTCCCACTTGTCAGTTGAGCTCTCCCTTACTCACAAAGTGGTTTGATGCACTCAGAACTCATACTCATGCTCTTCCTCAGGCGGGCTGCCCCCTCAGCAGAATTTTCAGTAGACCGGACACGTCACCTCATGTCCTTCCTGACGATGTTGGGGCCCAGTCCAGACTGGAATGTAGGTCTGTCTGCTGAGGACTTGTGTACAAAGGAGTGTGGTTGGGTCCAAAAGGTGGTCCAGGACCTAATCCCCTGGGATGCAGGCACTGATAGTGGGGTGTCATATGAGGTGGGTACAAATTTTATAAAATTAAATGTAATATGTTATTAATTTACCCTCAAACAATGGCACAGTAAAGTGTTTTTTTCTGTTTTTGCTCTAAGCGTGCTTGTGCCATGTAAAATGTTTTTAAATTTGTTGCGACATCAGCGGGTTCATAAAGTGAAACATGAGGAACTACCATTAATCTAATATATGCTGAGGAAAGCACTTATACCAATGTTTCTATGTTTGTTAAAATGTAAGATTGTACAATTTACTACTCAGATGTTACTAAACATTGTATGTGAATATCAAAACTTGTTAGCATAATAGCTTATTAATTTAATTAGTTAAGTTGTCTTAATGCATGTTCAATAAGCAGTTAAGGTTTGACTTAACTAATTTTAAGTAAAACCTTCTGAAAATGATGCAACAAAAACATTAGTGTCCCTCACTCAAATAAGGTTACAACCCCACATTCCCTGGGCAATCGCAGCCTTTTGCAAGCTGTTGTTCGCTCTGCCTTTTACCCCCTGGATAACCTTCCTCGCTCTCATCACCAGCTGAGACTTCCCTTCACACTCACATTTTGACCTTGTCATTATACCAACCTCTTCATCTGCCTGTCTGCCCACATTCACAATCACTCCCTCTCTCACATCATACCGCCAGGCGGCAACAATTCAAGTGTCATCGCCCATCCAATTCTCCTCTAAAAGCCTTGAGCAATGTCCCTCCTTCAGCCCTCACTCTCAGGTGCTGCATGCTCAATATCTCCTGTCAGCACCAAGAGATTAGGCTTACAGTTTGACCAAATTTTGTGACTAAACATGTATGAAACTTTTGGCTGATGTATTAGAGCTCATACTCTCTTAGATCAAGTGATCTTTTGCTTTTAGCTGTACCAAGGT